GGTTCGCTCACAGAAAGAACACTATTCCCAGCGGACGGCTTTATTCACCCACAGCCTGGTCCCCACTGGTCCCGCTGGGTGGTGGAGGTGGGGGGTTCCCAGAACTGGGGAGTCAGGTCCTGGAAAGTACCGGGATGCCCCTCCCCCTCAGGCCAAATTGGTGCCCCCACTTCCCAGGGAGGAAGGGGGCCCTGGGTCCAGCCCTGGGAGCAGTCCGGCTGATTCCTCCTCTGGGTTATTGCAGAGCAGAGTGTCCCACTGAAGTGGAGTCGGTACTGATCCAGGAGAGGCGGGAGCTTGGGGTCGCCCATTTCCTTCCAAGGCCAAAGCTGGGTGGTGTCACCGGCGGCTGGGTAAGTTTTTCACACGCCCCTCCCCTCCCTTTCCGGCAGAACCAATGCTTCCTGCCACCACATGGGCACCCATGCCACCGCCAGTCACCCGGGCAGCTTGGCTCCTTGGAAAAAAGATGGTGGAGGCACCGTTACTGAGCAAACTTCGTGTGCAAACTTTCCCCCCTGGTCTTGCGTCTCTCGCTGTTGACGCCCGTCGAGGGCACGCTCCCCTGCTTGGAAGTGGGTGGGCTTATGGAGACGGCTGATGGCAGGGAGGAGACGAAAGGCAGGCTGAACCCCGAGTAGCTCTCAGTGCGCTGACTCCAGGTCACGTCTTCCGGCGGCCACTCGGGGTCTGGGTTCGACTCCCTGGGCATGCTGGACCTGACCAGCGAGCTCTCCTGGAAGCTGGGCTTGGCCAAGTGGTACTTGGGCCAGTCGGAGGGCTTGGTGGGCACCATGCTCTTCTTGGACAGGAACTTTGCAAAGGGGTCGCTGGCAACGTGGTCCTGGAGGTACCACCACCGCTGCAGTGGGTAGATTGGGATTGGCAGGAGGACGACGACGCTGAGGAAGGTGATCCAGCCCAGGGAGCTTTGCAGGTAGGGCTGTTCTACTTCCTGACTCTGGAGGCGGAGACGGGGGCCCGGGTGGGAGGAAGAGGTGGTGATGGGGTTTGGGTCCAGGTGATGTGGAGGACCAGGTTCCCCGGGGGCTGGGAAGTGGGTGAGAGGGCCCCTGGGGGATGGTCAGGGCACGGATCAGGGGAGGAGATCTGGCAGCGGGTCCCCCGAGTGGGAGTGGGCGGCCAGGGCCGGGGGCTCACCATGCTGCTGTTCCAGGCGATGTAGTGGGGGGGCACCTTCCGGTAGAGATGGACGAGGCAGACGGAGAGGAAGGCCAGCAGCCCGGGCATGGTCACGTAGCACCACAGGAAGGGGCAGGCGGACCACAGCAAGCGGCCCAGCTCACTGTACATTTCCTCCCTGAACCTGCGGCGGGGGCCATGGGCACGGACATCTGGGATGGAGCCCTCCTCTGGCCGCCAGGGCCTGGAGCCCTTGGGAAGACAGGCCCGCCGGCTCTCTAGTTCTCTCACAAGGTCTCAACTCTTCGGAGAGGCTGCGTCCTGCCGGGCCCTTCCCACGCCCGGGCCCTGCATCTGGTCCTCCCAGAGGAATCCCCCCCATCCAGGGGGCACGCACCACTCCAGCCCTCTGCCTTCAGACCAGCCCTGTGTGGGCCACGGCAGGGGAACCCGCGTCCCCTAGGTCCTGATGGCTGGTTCCCTCAGAACCCACCCGGCTGCCTCGGGTCCCTGCCTCCTGCAGCCCCCCTGCTCTCAGATCGGGCCCTCACTCTCCTCGGAGACCCGGGAGGGGGCCCCCGGCTGGGGAGACCCTGGGGTTTGCACGTTACCTGTAAGCTCCGTACACCCAGGCCAGGGTCCCGTTCTGGAAGACCGCGATGATGAAGAGGGTCAGCGGGACCAGGGTTTCATCCAACAGAGACATGATGTAGCTGCCGGACCGGCTGGTGAAGACGATGCTGCCCAGAAAGCCTCCCAGGCAGATGACCACTAAGGCAGGGGCAGGTTTGGCCACCACGTTGAGATGGGTGGACAGGGCGGGGTCAGGGGGTCAGAGCGAGCCCCCGAGATGGGGGTGGCTGGGGGAGGGGAAGGCAGTAGGACAGGGTTGGCGCCGGCCCGAGGAGCCACCGTACCTGGGAGCAGCGTGGGCTGCTTGCTGATGGTGGACAAGGCGTTGTGGATGGGATAGACAATGCTCTCCACGATTTTTACCAAGGTGGTCAGCTGCATCAGGAGCAGGACCAGGAAGAAGAGAAAGGCCCAGAAAGGGGCACCGGGCAGCGTGGAGATGGCTTGGGAGAAGGCTGGGAATGCCAGGCCAGGGCCCTGCATGAACTGAGGGGGAGAAGGGCTCTGAGGCA